CTTCAAATTCAAGGTATTCTATTACCCTCGACTCCTCTGAGAACATTTAACACTTACTGCAAACTTACGTACTCGCACGCCCCTTTTGTGAGTTCTTGGCGGTCTCTAATTTGCACTTTTTCGTAAGGAGGCTCTCGCAAAGGTGCAGGTGCGGTATTTGCCTGTCAACTTTTGAGAGATCACAAGCAAAACAAACTTTTATTGTCCGTTGACTTTTATTCTAATTCTACAGTTTACAACTCCTCTGTTTACAACTATTTCTTGTGAGAAATTAGGGCTTTTATTTGTAAGTACGACATTGTAAGAAAGGGTATGGAACTGATGAATTCATAGCAAGCTGTTGTACGTACTCAAGTAAGGTTAAGGTAACTATTACCATTTGCTTATTTATTTTATTGTTTTGTTTTCTGTTTTGTTTTGTTTTGTTCTTTTTTTTTTTTACCAAAGTGAAATGAATAAATAAAAAAGAAACAAAGCTTTCTCTTGAGGATTCTCTCAATTTTCCTCGTCACTTGGATACTGACTATCATAATGAGTATAGCTAAAAAGCAAAACGCATGCGCTGGAACCGTCAAGAAAGGTTAAGCGGAAAGCACTGAAAGTCCACCAGTTAACATGCCCTGTTATAGGAAAACATTTTCCCAACGGGCAGAATGGCTGAATTTGCTCTTATATTAGTTTTGGTTGATGTTCCTTATACACAGAACACTTTATTTAAAATTTGAAAGCTTTCAACGGAGAAATTCTGTTTTATTGTTTGAACTTCTTTCGGGTCTTACAGTTTCTAGATTTGATTTAAAGAATTCTCCTTTTCTCGTTGTCTCTCTACCACAGTCTTCCTTATAACGTGTTTTTTTTTCTTATAGATGTTAGAGTGAATGAATAATCAAAAAAGGGAATTTGCCTCCTTTTTAAAAATAATTAAATCAAACGAATTGTCACATCCGTCTACCAGAGGAATTCAAGTTAGTAAACAAACTCAATAAAAGGAACAGACGCACCTTTACTTAAACTTTTTGAGGTATTTTCTGTCTGGAATGATTCAGGAGCAGAAATCTAGTTAAAATTGAATAAATACAAAATTTCAAAAGCTAATGTGAGTATTAGAATTGGGTAGGATATATCAGGTAAGTGGCCAAAACCAAAGTTAATCAAGAATATCTATGAACTGTTTAACTGAGAAATGATCTGCTTACCTTGGTCAGCGTGACTCGGAAACCTTCTGGTGACCGTATCCTTTTTGGCCTCCACAGAAGCAAGATTCTATTTAAAGAAAGCTATTTGGAAAAATTGTTTTGCAATCCTGTAGTGGAAATCTTGACAATCTCTGATTGGTTCAGTAACAATATATTAAGAAATCTGCTTTCTCTGACCAAAATGCTAGAAGACAATAGAATCATGGAGCATGACAGCGTCTAAAGATGCAAAAAATTTCTTACCACAGGCCTCTTTGTAAGGTGACAATAGCACCCTGTGGAGAAGAAAGCCGAAAATTTTGTTTGAAATGCGGTAATTTGTAATTTTTGTAAAATCTGACAACTTCTAGTTAATAGTGTCATGTTACCTGAACAACCGTTTTGTAGTAATTTGACAAATCATATATTTTTCAAGACTTTATTTCTTCCTTAGCAGGAAGTTTTAACGAAATGAGAGAAATTTCAATTTTCCAGATCAACAACCTTTCATGATCACACGTTAACAAAAGGTTAAGAAAAGTTAACTATGGAATGTTCTTTTAACAAAACCGCTTTTACAATGGGTTAATTGGCGATTTATTGCATTTCATTTTAGGGCATAACTTTCTTCAAACAAATTTAAACTCGTCAGTTTCTTCTTTTTTAGGTAGTCATAGGGAACACCTTAATGGTTTACGCTTTTGTTGTTTTGGTCTTTTGTGCACGCCACACGCGATCGATGCGGTGGTCTGATAAAGCCTTAGAAAGTATATAGAAAACTAGAAGCCAAATACCAGAAATAAAATAATAGTGGCATAATCTATCTCTATCTGTCTCATTATTCGTATTTATCCTCGTACTGCGCAACTCTAAAAAAATCCGCGCTTTTTATATGTTAAACTATCTAATGAGGTATACATGGTTATTTCGTACATGACACTCTTTATATAGTCCTTGACTTCCCTTTACGCACATTGTTTCACCAGGAGGGAACGGTCAACTCTCCACTAACGAACACCCTCGTAACCGGACAGCTCCAGTCACAGACACTTTTTTTCAATTCCCCGTTTCGCCTCCCATAAGCGTGCGGTCTTTCGTAAGTGGACGCGGACACTTGTGAAAGTCTAAAATTTGAGTTACGCTTTCTCATAAGCGGAGAACCCATGCATAATTTCAATGTATCCACATGTATGGACGGTAGGAATAAGTCTCGTTTAACTTTTTGCGAATATAGAAAGGTTTTAATGTATATTTGTTTTATTTTTATTTTTCGAGTTTAACAAATGACATCAATAAGAATTTCATTTGCTATTTTTGGCTACCCAATAAAACAAGTACCTACTTAACACCCGCTAATCAACTGTCCGGTAAGTGAACATGCACCTTATTTTTCTTATATATCCGTTTATGGGAATAACTCTCGTAGGCGGACAGCTCTATTAAAGGACAATTTGTTTGTTTTTTCAACTCTAGAGGGTGTCCTCCAACGAGAAATTTGGTTTTTGCTTCGTAAATGACCAACTTATAGCAACATTTGTTTTCATGACTCTTTCATGAGTCACTATGTGAGATGGTTATTGGAGAAATGACAGGGGTAAGTTATCTTTAAAGTGCAGAACAATATTCCTTCCCCCCCTCCCTCCCAAAAAACAAAAGAACAACCCACTTCACACGATGAGCAAAGAGTTGAATTGTATGTGCATAGATTTGTTCGAGTCAATACTGTACGAGTGGAAGGTTTGTAGGTGTTCTCTGGTTTGATGGACGACTGATGTGAACATGTTTTTTTCTGACCTGTATGTCAGAAAGCCCAGGCCCACCGCGGGGAAGCCAGCAGAAAGTCATGTTAGAGACTTGTGCAATAAGTTATGCAATCAAAAAACTTTTGTAAAAGTGAATTTTGGATCATAATGTATTTTCGGCTCTCAAAAGAAATTCCTAACCTGCAAAACGCATTAATTCGAATGTGGTAGCACTTGAGACAAATTTTTGGAATGATACATTTATTTAGAGTTACATGAACCTTTTGAATGTTTTAGATAGACTATAATTTATGCAAAGCAAAGGTTTCTTTCACGTTGATCAGAACGCAGTTTCAGCTGATTTCGATTCCTTTTTGCTTTTTCATACAAAAGACAGCCCGCAATAAGAACCTGAGGTTAATAGATTTCAACTAAACACTACAGCTTAAAAATTGTGTCAAGGGAAATTAAAGAAGATGTTACGCCAACGTAATAGGCAGATATAGCTATTTGCCAGCACGGGTTAGAGGACTGGGTCTGTTTTTTTGGAATTATGGGTAGCTTATTGTGTTGCTCGTTACAAATTTGAATCAGTTTAGGTCAGCACTCTTTCTCTTATATCCAAATTTTGTCGGTAATTTTTGAGATATTTACTTCTGGTAATTTGTTATTACTAGTTTTCCGTTTACCTCAGCCTCCAAGGTTGGCGGCACCACAGCGGTGTTTTTACCACAACTTGGTTGTGGGGGTTTTCGTATCCGGCGGTGTCGTGTTCAGCGTTATACTGTGCGTGTGGTTTCTTATAGTAGTTTTGCAATAAAGAGGCTTCGAGGTTCATGCTGAGGCCCCTGTATCTACATTTGTGTGTGTGTTTCCCTGCATAGTGTAAATACGTATGATGCACGATCCTCGCAGTAGAGAGCGCTATTTATGCAATAGCGAAAATCAGACCTGAAAAAAATCAGGCCTGTACGGGATTCGAACCACTGACCTCTGCGATACTAGTGCAGCGCTCTACCAATTGAGCTAACAAGCCAACTGGGAGCAGGCCGTTAAGTTGATTCGTAATAAACCCGTGATGATAAATCAGATACAATGAATATATGAAGTTCATATATTTTGAACTGCGGTATTAAATACGTATGATGCACGATCCTTCGCAGTAGATAGCGCTATTTATGCAATAGCGAAAATCAGACCTGAAAAAAATCAGGCCTGTACGGGATTCGAACCACTGACCTCTGCGATACTAGTGCAGCGCTCTACCAATTGAGCTAACAAGCCAACTGGGAGCAGGCCGTTAAGTTGATTCGTAATAAACCCGTGATGATAAATCAGATACAATGAATATATGAAGTTCATATATTTTGAACTGCGGTATTAAATACGTATGATGCACGATCCTTCGCAGTAGATAGCGCTATTTATGCAATAGCGAAAATCAGGCCTCTACGGGATTCGAACCACTGACCTGTGGTTCGAATTGAGCTGTCAAGATGGCTTGGTAGCTCAATTGGTAGAACGCTGCACTAGAGCTGCGACATCTAGTGATTGAGTGGTTGCAGAATTTCTTTAACAACTTGTGACTGAGTGATCGTAGAATTTCTGCGACTTCCAGTGACTGAGTGATCGCAGAATTTCTGCGACATCCATTGCTTGAGTGATCGCAGAATTTTTGCGACAAATGATGACTCGTTGATCACAGGATTTCTGCGACATCCAGTGTTGGAGATTACCTCTGCATCTTTCCATGGTTGACTCTNGGGAGCAGGCCGTTAAGTTGATTCGTAATAAACCCTGCTTAACGGCCTGCTCCCAGTTGGTTTGTTAGCTCAATTGGTAGAGCGCTGCCCTAGTATCGCAGAAGTCAGTGGTTCGAATCCCGTACAGGTCTGATTTTTTTTTCAGGTCTGACTTTCGCTATTGCATAAATAGCGCTCTCTACTGCGAGGATCGTGCATCATACGTATCTATAGCCGCAGTTCAAAATATATGAACTTCATATATTCATCGTATAGTGTAATTAAGCAAAATAAGACCCCCATTTATTTTATGTACGTAATGTTTCGTATTAACATGAATACTTACAATTTCTTTGATAAAGGATCAACATTTGGTGATTCCCTTTAAATTATATTAATTCTCTATACCATACGAGAAAGATTTAAGACGATAAAGACCCAAAAAGTACATTGATAATCTCTTCAGACCATATTTTGGTTATTTCTCCAATTTCACCTCAACACTGAACCCATTCTTAAGATTTTTGAACGCGATTATGTTCCCTTTTCCTGGGGAAGAATTGGAAGGAGAAAGAGAGGCAGGCATACGCTTTACTTCTACACGTGGTTGATAGCCAAATGGAGATCCATGTACTTTCACTGCTGAATCAGGGAGAGTCATCTTCACCTCCACTGATAAGGTGACCTCGACCTCGACTTCACGACTTTCTATTTCATAGAGCTCCTCCCTGTTAACGTCGTCGGATGTTTCCAGTTCATCTTGGACATTGAAATTCAGATCAGGGTAGCTGATGCTTAAAAAAACGAATCGGGAATCCTGCTCGACCATAATGCGACATTGTTTGGTCACTTTTGTGATTAAACCACCCTGAGGGAGTTCTAATGTGGGGTGAAACACTACATACCCGTACAATGGGGTAATGAGTATGTTGCGCTGTGGTGAAATACCAAATCGTACCACGTGAGCCTTATCATCTTGTTGCAGAACCGTGTACAGCAAATGATTCCCGTGCTGGCGCTTCCAAATGGTGGTGGCAGTGCTTTTGTAAGAGTCTGTTTTTACGAACACAGCGTACTCGTACTTCGCACTCGTGGAACTATGCTCTAGCCAGGCCGTAGTGTAGATACTGCTGGAGTCGACAGCAGCTGCGGTTTTGGAGTTTTGATTTTGGACATGTACTTTGAGATCAGACGCACTTGATCCTGGAATGTAATAACTGTTGCCCTTAGTGTCCACTAAAGTGGTGTAGCCTCTAGGCATGTCTGTAGAAGGAGGGTTTACAGCTGCGAATAGATCTGAGGTGACTTTGGCGGGGCCGTCCATTACATTAGAAAATTTAGAAGCACCTCTTATCAGTTTGTCTTGAAATAGAGTAGTTTGTGCGATAGTTCTTTTTCCACCATTATCTATTTTAATGTTGCTTCCGAGACAGACTAAAACGTTTTGAAAGAAAAAGACAGATTTCTTAAAATGAAGCTTAATTTTAGGATACGGATGCTTTTCATCGATGAATTGATTTTCTGGTTGATGGAAGTCCATCCCAAATACCCCGCTGGATAAAGGCTCTGGTCCTTTGTAGGTAACTCCTCCGGCATAGGAGAGTGGACTAAAATTCCGTGCCTCTCTGAGCCTTATTTGCGATAAAGTCATATTTATCGTTGTTGCTCCAGGAACCTTTGTCCAGTCCCATCCGTTATCAATATCGTGAGCTTTCAACGCCTCCTCACTGTTTGCTATCAGCATTGATCCATGGCTTTGATAGGTACCAAAGGCGTTTTCCGGAGTTTTCTTCTTTGTAGATCCTTCAAAGTCCCACACAAACCTGTTGAAACCTTTGACTGTTACGGCCCAGTCCTTACGACGATGTATTGAGAGGGCAGCAAAGTTCATGGACCAGTGACCTTCAGGAGAGGTCTCAGGAGCTGAGGCTTTGGATTTGAGCTGTAAACGAAACAAAGGTCTCTGTCAAAAGTGAAATACAGTAACGATACAAGTGCAAAGATCTCTATTTAATGTATTTATTTTCGTTTCATTTAAAAGTGATTTTGCGATGCAACGCACAAAAAATACTTAATGTTGCCGCTAAGATATGCCCCACAGGTTCATTTGTTCATTAAATAAATTCCAATTAAGGAATAAAGTTTTACCCAAGTCGTTTTACATAGAGGTAGATATATCGTTACTCGCACAAGCTTAATTATTCATATATATATATATATATATATATATATATATCTCAATCACAGTCACACGAACTAACACAGTTGTTAGATTCAGCTGTTGTAAGCGTTGGACTTCTATAAAACATAGCGAGTTTTAACCTCTGACTATCACTAAATCTGGCGCACAATATCAATGGCTGATTATTATTTTTTTTTTATTTGTCCATCTCGCTGGAAACTTATAACTAATCAGCCTCTCCTTTCTAACATATTTTTTTCGAGATTAGAGTTTGGATATGAGCTAGCTATTATCGGCCTCGACATCTCCAATTAAGGCAATTGAAACTGCCGTTTTACTGTAAACGTCCACTGAAAATACCGATTAATAAATTCTAGAGTTTTCAATATTAGAACGACATAAGTGATGGTGTACAAGAGAACCCAACCTCATTAGCCAAACTATGGTGCAACGGCTCATTTATCATCGAGACCGTGCAACTAAATGCAATCGAGTTTGATTTTCCAATGGTTTCTTTATTTATTTCTTGTCTCGATGTTTTTTTTTGTTTCGTTGTCCAATTTTTTTTAATGGTTTTTTTCACAGTTAAGTATTGACTTTTAAATTTGGCCTTGGTGACAGTCAACCTATGTCTGACGAAAAAGTGATGTATAGCATCTGGGAAGAAATGCTATCTTTTTCCCAAGAATAAATATTTACAGCTATTTAAATTTATATCAGGAACTTCAACGACTTTTCTTCAGCCATTTCAATCGAATGACTTACCTCGCTCATTATTTTCAGAGATCCGAGGCTGTTCATGTATGATTTCCCACTGCCAACCCGTCCATCCTCCAAGTAATTTTCACGTTTCTGTCAGATGTTTCATACAAACGTAGAAACATGCCAGCGTTCCTGGTGTTTGGAATAGTTATCCCTTTCGGTAGAACCAATGCTAAAGACTGGTATGGATGGGAGACGCTGATGTATGCATACGCTGGAAGGATATTTATCAAAACCTCGTTAGAAAAGTGTGGAAAACGTCCTCCCACACTGCTCGGGGTAGAGTACTTCACAGATATAAGCCTCATTACTTTGAGAGCTTCAAGTAAATTTCGTTTAGATGCATCTGATAAAGCGAAGTGTGTTCCTTCTAAGAGATATTGCACTTGTGCTGCTGTATGCAGCGCATGTGGCGCGTATGCTGATGCATAGAACGCTTTGTGATGAAAACCGGTGTAATCAGGTTTGATAACTCCTCCAAATGCTTTGTTAATACTCAGGGCGTTATCCATCCACCTCTTCAAAGCATCCATATCCCTCTGCCTTTCCCTTTTTTCAATTTCAGTAGTCACAGGCATCGTCAACACAATTATCAATCTAAACAAAAATATCGTGATCATTCTGTCAGCCGTAGTTCCACTGAATTCGAAACGCGATTGATAAACTTCTCCAAAATCATTGTACCATTTGGCAGTGTTTATCAATTTCTTTAATCTACTATTGTTGCTTGAGGGTTGATGTAAAGATCTTTTCAGGAAAAAAAGAGTGTGCATGTATCCAGCACCATCCCGATTCATTTCGTGATCCAGGGAACCTATTCCACTTCCATCGGCCCATCCCTGTTCTTCGATGTAATCAAGTAGATTGAGGATTCTCTGAAGGCGTGCTTTGTTAAAAAAATACAGCGATTTTCGGACGTTGCTTTCCGTACATGGTAGTTTGACAAGGTAGTTTCGGAACTCATCCTGTCTCTTTTTCCATTTCCCGCAAATTTTTTGGATTGACTGCTGCACTTTGGCAACAATTCCAGAACACAGTCCTGCCGTTTCTCTTGCTACCGTCTTAGTTACCTCGTCAGGACGTGATTTAAGGTAAAACTCAAGTGCTAAAGGTAACATGATGTTCATAATAGGAAAGCTGAACTTCCTTGTTGGGTCTTCTGTGGAATAATCCCTGGTTCCTTTCTCACAGTTACGGCAAAATAACGGAGGACCAGTGATCACGATCTTGGTGGAACCAGGATTGCTATAATCAGGCTTATTCGTAAATTTAAGTCTATCGTATTCCTTATGAGCAGTATCGAAACTTTCTTGAAGGGTATTCCAACGCATCTTTGTTTCTCCAGTGAAATCATAAGTGGTTTGTGTCTCATCAGCATACCAGTTATGCAAGCGACTTTCGATGTGAGAAAGATGAAGAGTCTTGGAATAGTCGACGGAAGGTGGAAGAGCGGTGGGCGTCTGCTAACTCCAGCGATAAGTCTGCTGCCAGAAGTTTTTTGAATCGTACTTTGGACCAAATCTCGTAGTTGGAACTATCTTATCACGTGATTGCTTAGACATTTTTCCTACCAACCCAAGTAAGTCGATGTAAATGGTATCTTTATGGTTTAGAACAAAGTCCATCCTAGTGATCGTTGCAGGATCTTTGAGGCTATTTTTCTTTTGTTTGCATTCATCGAATGACACCCATATTCCTCTCCAGCCTGAAAAACCCAAGTTGATGTGGAAGGATCCTACCCGCGGTCCGTTTCTACGGTCTCCCAGCCTGATTCCCATTTTCTGTCCTGAAGATGCAGCGTCTTTGTAGATCCACATCTTTACACCTCCTCTCCTGAGATCGTTTCCCGTTACGTAAGCCGAGTTTGGTAGGTTGTACCTCAATTTAGATTCTCCTCTGGCGCCCGACTCCCATTTCAGTGATGTTTTCCCGTGTTTGGCTACTGAAGTCGAGAAAGAAATCTTGCCCTTAGTCTTCGGTACTGTGACGAGGCAGTTTTGCTGTGCTGTATCTTCAAAATCGAGCTTCTTGTCACAACGGTTTCCTACCAGATAAAATTAAAAAGATCATTATAACTAAAAAGGGATCACTTCACAGTAACAACTGATTTACATTTCAATTTGATACAAATGGTCTGATGAAAGTGATGGGACGTACCATTTGATATAATGTTTTACGGTGAATAAGAGTTCGCCGAGGAACGGATAAGAATTAAAAAAAAATTAAAAAAGTTAGTGATGCACTCATAATTGGTCTATGTACCTGTAAGATAGTTTGTTCAAACACCATCGTTAAGGTTACTTTCCACCGTCAGAAGAAAAATTATTTTCTCTTACTTTGCAAAATCGAAGTAAAAAATTTTGCCTAACGTTTCCAAAGAAAATTAAAGTTATTTAGAAAAACGTAACTAACATAAAAGTCGATAAATCAGGAAGAGTCATAATCTCATAACTGGGCGAATTCCCTGAAAGACTCGCTCATCTTGGGGCTCGTTTTTTATTTTATTTGCATATTTTGTTTACATTGTGCACCTGACAAAAGTCACACGCAGAAAAATGTCTCAGTTAATTATTGTGTGGGGCGAAGAAATATAAATTATTAACTGCAGTTTGTACAACAGCTCTGTACAGGAAATATTGAACGTGTTTTAACACTGACTTTAAAAATGCTCTCCATCCCCACCGAATCTTTATCCTTGATTAAAGTAACATACCAGTCGCCTGATCTATTAGCAACAAGGCCACACCAGTCAGAATGAGAAATGAAAATTCTACCATTCTCTTCTCCGCAGTCACTTTCCCTTTAAATTAAATGTAAAATAGACAAAAAAATCTTCAACAAACTTAAACAAACTGCACCTAATTGACCCAAATAGTATTTCTCGCGCAACTTAGAGCAAGTTGAGAGTAGGTCGCCTTAATTCTGGTTACCATAGTTCTACAACATGTGTATTGAGGGTGTACATAAATCGCTAAACGATGCCTTTTAAAGAGTAACTTTTCGATGAGTTCAGCCTAGCAAGTACTACAACTTAAGTATCCTGAATTATCCTGAACAGATATACAAATATTTCACTGCTTCAAGCATGGAGGACGACCGATGAACTGTTGGACAGTGTGGTTTAAGTATTTCACTTTTAGCTAAACTAACCTCTGCTGATGGCAACTTACCTCTGTAGTGTCCTTTTCGATATTCGAGGGACGCCACACCGAATCTTCGCCCACGGACAGTTGAAAACAACGTAACCTCGAATGCAATGTTTGTTGTCCTTTTAAGAACTGTTTTAACTTTAGCATATGTCGTTGTGGCGTTGTGAATTAATGCCCCACCAAATCTTCCACGCTAAGTGCTGATGTGGCTACTCTGGACCAGTTAAAGAGAAATTAAAAGAGCCTTTCAGAGTAGAAATTAAAACCAATTAAGTCGAAGCCTGACAGATTTTTAGCAAAGAACAAGTTGCATCATTAGTAACTCGAATAGAAAATCTAGTATTAGCTAGTTACCTAGTAATACTACACTACCCTTTGATTAATCTGGCTCTTTCTCTCCTACTGCTCTTTGAATTCAAATAGATAGAGCTAACTCGGAAACCTCACGGTTCCTCTTGTCTCTAGGCTGCATTAATGATTAAATTATGCTTCTTTAAATTTTCCTCAAATTATCTTATTTCAGTGGATTACCATATTTGTGATGAACAAGAATTTGCTTATTGATGCCATTGTTAATTTTCAGGCAGCAATTTCATTAACAGGAAGAAAGGGGCCACTGATTTTTTCGAAAGAGAAACTTGACATCGCTCGCAAAACTTTTACTCTTTACCTCTCAAATCCAGGAAGATTAGTAGTAGGGTGTTATGTATTAAGACTCTAGATGAAATTTTTTTTTGTAGTATAGCTAACGTTGGTTAGCGTTTGTTAGCATGACTGAGTCTTCTTTATCTTATTTTCAGTTTTTATTCCAAAAATTTTTGTATTTAAACAGGATACCTTCAATAACAATATCTATGTCCTGAGGGGCTATCCTGTATAAATATTCGTTATCATGTTGTTTAATAAGTAGATAATCTTAACTGAAAGCATTCCCGAGAATCCCAGTTGTTAACCAGCGTAACCCTGGAACGTTTTGCTCTAACGCGTGCGATCATAAATATCACATCACGTATCACGGAATACACACGTTGGTTGTTGGTGTACGCTCTTCAAAAATATCAGCATGAAGAGACATCCTGACTTAGAAGTCGTAGTTTTCAGTGCCAATATCAGTAATATGGATTTCGGTCCCAGTAAAAATTTTGAAAAGCAACACTTTCTTCGCTGTTAAGGGGGATTTACCTCAATTTACATGATGTCTTGTTTGCTCGGGACAGACTCCCTCTCAATGGTTGAATTTATGGAGTATCAACATTTATACAACAGAAGGAACAGTTTCACTAAAAGAAACATAGATTTAAGCTGTTTTCCCCGAACCATTTCCGGTTTTATAATTATAATATTTATACTTCCAATATGAGTTCTCTAAACACTGTCTAATGACAATTTATAACTTCCAAGAGAATTCGAGGAACGGATGTTATACAGAAGAAAGAATATATTATAGTTTTTTCACGATGTATTGATCGATGTGCTGTTGGCGACATATCAAGTGCCTTGCAGCTGGTCTTCCGGCGTCAGGCGACGCGATCGCAAATTTACGTGACGTTATTTAGGGCACCTTAGTTAGATGTTTTAAAATATTGACTCGATGAGTACTTTACCAGGTGTCACCCGAGCGTCGTGTCTAATTTAAGGACCGTTCACACGCCTTGTTGTGGTAGGCAGCGGCCGAGAACGTACGTTTGAGACACCTTTAATATAGGGTAGAACCTATAACCGAAAACCTCTGAAATCTTGTGTGGGTTCTTCCTTGGTTGTTGATCTTTTAGTCTGGTGATCTTTGAGTCTGGTGATCTTTCGTAAAATTAGGGCAGATATCCGTTAGAAACAAGAACAGATTATAAGTTAATCTTGTCTTGAGAGATAGTTGATGGTTTTGCCGTGAAACGTTTGGCCCGGTCATGTACACTTAACATTACCACGTTTTCCTAACTGAGGGGGGGTGTGGGTCAGAAGCGAAGTAATGGTCATTATAGGTCAGACATGATGCTCAGGTCACACTTTGTATGACAAACAATGTATACATCGGAGAAACAAGGAGAGAAATGATCTGCAAAATCAAAGAATATAAAAGAGATATACGGCTTGCTCGCACTCACAATTTGGTGGTTTCAATGTAGTAGTTTAACAGTCAAAAAATATAATTTTCATTAAGCTCATGAAAAAGTTCTGACTTTGTAAAATCTGAATGAAAAACACCAACTGGCCAAACCGCGGGAAGACAAAAAAATAATGGAGTTTTACAGCAATTCAAGACGTTATAAAATCTCTTACACATGCCTGTCTGATGACAGTGGCACTATAGAGTAATAAGAGCCGAGAATTGTGTTTGAAATGAAGGTAAAGCATTTTCCGGAAAAAAATAATCAACTTTCATTGATTGTTGACGCAAACGTTTACTATGGAGCGTTATACTACCTTACAACCTTTTCCGCTTTTATATTTGATTCTCTTCCTTTTTCATCTTTAGGGGAACAATCCTTGAAACAAAAGAGATGTTAATTTTCCAAGGAAAATAAACAACCCGTCAATCGTTTCTGCAAACAGAAAATTCGAGTTTAGAGTGTCAGAAGAGTTATCCAATGATTGTTTAATCATCTAAAAGATATACCTTGATATTTTGACGCAAGGCGTAACCTCTTTCTTAAAACGTTGTTTGACTACTAGACTTTTGAGTTTATTCCTGGTTGATGACCAACTTGCAAGAATATCTGTTTTTCCTGCGGCGTGGATGCGAGATAAGAGGGTCTTAATGGGGTTAACCGATAGGCGTAAAATGGCCAAAATTTAGTCGATAGCCGTAAAAATTGAAAAATTTTAACCGTTAGCCGTAAATGGGGTCAAAAGAGGTAACCGTAAAAAAAATTGTTCAATAAATTTCTTAATTTTAAGGAAGGTGCTAAACTTACTTATGACCTGTTTCATTTCTTATTTTGCTGACTTTGACTCCGTACATGTCGTACATGTAGTTCATACGTTTAAAGGCCAAGCTCGTTTCAAGGACCCCCGGTAGTCTCCCTTGACCTCACTTGGCCTGCGTTTTGTAGGACAAGTTGAAAGCTTTTTGTTTTAAGATCTCCAATTTCTTCACCCAGTGTGCATGTGAGAA